CACGTATATTGCTCTGCTCCTCCCTGCCTACCAAGTAAGCACAAGGCTTCTTGGTGGCTGGGCCTCTGCGGGCCCACTGCAGTGCTATCACTCTGCTTGCCAAATGTAATTTGATGCAGCAGGTAAGAAAGTGGTTAGAGAGGTACATTGGGTTTCTGAGAGGCACCAGTATAGCTAAGACAGAAATAGGCTCTAACTTAATAATAATCTGCTCATCGCACACAGTAAGAGACACCCTAACTTATTCAAAGACACCGTGGGTGGTGCAGAGGATGAATAAGCATGATTCATTGCCACTCTGACACCCAGGGCACGAAGAATAATAAAACCCAAAGAATTGTAGGCGCGTGAGTAGTAAATTAAGAGATCCAGGGCTCAGCTAGATGCTAGACATCAATGTTACCATGGCAATAAAGGGCTACAGCGTTTAGCAGCTATTACAGAGCAGGCATCTAATAGCCTAGTCTATGTCACAGACAAAGCTCAAGGGGCTAGCAAAGAAGACCAATTAGCATATGCTTTCATTAGGGGCTGCTGCACACTTCTCTTAATTCCAGTTAGTTGTTTGTTTGAACCAACATATCTTGCCTGCGTTATACTCATTAGTGCCTTTTAGCCACTGGAAATAGGTTTGAATCTCCACAAGGGCCTCATAATTTCCCAAGTCTTAATTTTTTCCTCTAGGGGTCTAGGTGTTTACAGTCACAAACCCATGGCCCCCAGTTCCTCGAAATGAAAACATCTCTCACTGTACAACTGTACTTGAAAGATGGAAACTCTGTTCAGGAATGTGATGTGCTAAGGGTTCTTCCTGGAACCCAGTGAAATGGGGATCTGGGGCCATTATCTGAACCATTTAGGTCAAGAAAATCCTCTGGCCTTAGCCAGAGAGCCTACTGGCCTCGCTTGCTGATCACTACTCAGAGACTAGCTACGCGGGAGGGGGAACTTTGGGCACTGGGGACCATATTGACATCATCAAAGTCGGGCAGTAGCTGTTCTAGCTTGAAGGACTGCCCTTCAAGGTCCAGCCCAAACCCTGCCTATTCCTGGTAGCCTTCCCTGACCTTTGCAGCCTCAAATGAGTTCCCCTTCCTCCATATACTTCTTTTTATTTTATTTTAAATAATCTTTATTGTTCATATGACACCCTATGCCGGGCAGCATTCACAGGCAGCCTCAGGCCCTAGGCCAGCCTGGAATTTCCTCATCCATGACTTCAAAGTCCACTAGGCCATGAATGCTGGAAGGGATTGGTGTTCTAGACAGCACTCAACAATGACTGGGCAACTCCAATGGCAAACAACTTTTAAGCTCCACTACACATGATCTCCCAGAGACTCCATGAAGATTTAGCCAATCCCCAGGTAAAGAAAGTACAAAACTGCTCTTCGATGACTCTGGGACACATTCCCCCCTCCCACCTCACACAATTGTGGAAATAATCCACCAGAACAGATGCCATCTCAGGGTAGAGACAAAGATTCTCTGAAGAGTTCTACCATCTCTTCCTTCCTTTGGGAACAGGAGGACCCAATCCATAAGATTGTTTCTGTTCCATGTCAGCAACCATGTAGTTTTCGGAGAGGGGACGATTGTTAATCATCATCTGAGGATATTTTTCTATTGATTTTTACAGAGTGGAAGAGAGAGGGAAAGACAGAGAGAAACATTGATGTGAGAGAAATACATCGATTGGTTGCCTCATGCACAAACCCTGAATTAGACCAGTGAACCTGCAACCAAGGTACGTGCCTGTGACCAGAATTGAATTCAGTACCCTTAAGTCCACAGGCTGATGCTCTATCCACTGAACAAAACTGGCTTGGGCAGCAACCATGTACTATCCTAGTGCAAACAGGAAAGGGGGCTTATAGAAGCAGCTGCTAATACTTGTGCCCAAGGACTGGGCATATAGTTTTAGAGACTTAAATCATTTGCCTTTGAACCTACTGTCACATTCAAAGCTTCTCCTTTCTCCCTACTCTCTTGCTTCTATAGCCACTCCTGCATTATGTTCCCATTCGTCACTCTGTCTCCAATCTGCTGCACTGTCAATCAGATTGCATTCCCCCCAAATTAGTGGGATTGATTTCTCCCTTAGCTAGATTTTTTTCCCCCCTGTGGATTCATAAAGTTTTCTGTCTTTGAGATCCTTTGGGATTTCTTTATTTTACCCCACTCAACTGTCATTCCAGAAGGCAGCCTGGGCTGTAGTCAAAATACATTACAAATATATTAAGTATATAGCAAGCCTCAAATTATTCAGAATGCTAGGGAACAAGAGATTTTGGAGAATGAAATATTTTGTTACTTGAGGTCATTGTTCCAAGTTCCCTTTTATCTTCTCACCCTTGGTTTCCCCCCCCAGATTTATTGAGATATAATCCTATATAATAAAGAGGTAATATGCAAATTGACCATGATGCCCTCACAAGATGACTGCCCACAACCAGGCCAGCGGGGGGGTTAGTGAGGGACAACCAAATGACTCACAGCAGACTGCATGGGACGACCAGGCCTAGGGGTGCCATGAGGGGTGACCAGGCTGGCAGAAGGAGCAGTTGGGGGCTACCAGGCCAGCAGAGAGGGGTAGTTGGGGGCAGTTAGGGGTGACCAGGAAGGCAGGCAGGTGAGCGATTAGGAGCCAGCAGTCCAGGATTGTGAGTGGGATGTCCAAATGCCAGTTTAGGTCTGATCCCCAGGATCATCCTGGTAGTTGGTCATTCACCAAGGGGTCCTGGTTTGGAGAGAGTGCAGGCTGGGCTGAGGGGACCCCCCTGCATGAATTTCATACACTGGGCCTCTAGTGGACATATCATATTGTGTAAGTTTAATATGTACAATGTGATCTGATATACTTATTTTTATTATTTTCAACCCTCACCCAAGGATATGTTTTTATTGATTTTAGGGAGAGAGGAAGAGAGAGGGGAAGAGAGAAAGAAAGAGAGAGAAATATGGATGTGTGAGAGAAACATAATCGATTTCCTTCCATACCCACCTGACCAGGGATTGAACCCTCAACCTGGGTATGTGTCCTGATGGGGAATTGAACCCAAGAACCTTCAGTGTATGGAATCATGCTCCAACCAACTGAGACACACAGCCAGGGGTAAAAGTTTGTACCTTTTGACCAACATATCCCCAGTTCTCCTACTCCCAACCTCTGGTAATCACTATTCTACTCTCTGTTTCTATGAGTTTGGTTTTTTAGAATTCCATATGTGAGATCATACAGTATTTATCTCTTTCAGTATGACTTATTTCACTTAGCATAATGCCCTCAAGGTCTGTCCATGTTGTCACCAATGGCTGAATAATATGTCACATTCTTTTTATCCATTCATCTGTAGTCAGACACTTAGGCTGTTTCCATAACTCCAATATTGTAAATAGTGCTGCCTCCCACGCTTGATTTCTGAAATCTTACTAACATTGCTATATTTTCTTTTTTGCTTTAGTAAGATAAGACCAGTTAACTAGGCTTTTGTTTGTGTTTTATTTTTTTATTTATTTCAAAGAAGAAGAGAGGGAGGGAGGGAAAGAGAGAAAGAATTATTGATTGGCTGCCTTCTGCATGCCCCATAATAGGAATCAAGCTGGAAAGCTGGGCATGTGTACTGACTGGGAATTGAACTGTGACCTACTGGTTCATAGGTCGTCACTCAACCACTGAGCCATGCCAGCTGGGCTTTTTTGTTTTGTTTTTGTTTTTGTTTCCAAGTGTTCTCACATTTAATATCAGAAATTGCACAAAAGTCTCAAGTGGAGAAAGTAGAAAAGGTAGAACTTGGTATCTACTGAGATCAGGTTATCCCTTGGAATACATTTGCTTTTATTAAAATCTAAAAAGAGGAATGAGTTTCTTTTAGTTTTTTAGTGGCCTCTCTTCAAATAAAGGTATGGGAGGCTAAGGAAAAGTACCAATTAGTAACAATCTAGTAACTGAAGTCTTTATTTTAAATTAACCACTACCAAACTTATCTGCATCCAGATAGCCTAGAATTGGAATTATGAATAGAGAAATCTATTCAAGGTATTATGTTATTTTTCTTGGTTATGAATCTGCCCAGAATATCAGTATCTGCAATATTCTTAGTCATATGGATGTAATGGGGAGAAAGAGGGAGTAATTTGTGAAGAAAGGATTACAAACTCTACCCAGGCCTTTTAGCCACCCAAATTCCAGTGGGGTAGATCAAACAGCCAAAAATGCTATACACTGTTCTTGGCTGTTTCTATAATTTTTCTTTTGTTGGATTCCACTTTGGCTTCAAGAGTTATGTATGTCTGGGAAACTGACACTGCAAAGTTCTGGCTTGTTCCCTGTCCCGATGCTAAGGGATAAATATAGATCTCAACCACTACAGAAATTTGGCCAGGATTCCAATGGATGTGTGTGTGAGGGGCAGCAACTGATGGGGCCTTTCTGACATGTGGTCTAGAAAAAGGCTTCTGTATGTCCAAGACCCTCTGGTGTGGGGAGGGGTAAAAGTAAAGCCTGGCTTCTAAAATCAGGACCCATAATCTACATTTTCAGGAGCTCCTGGGTTGACATGGATAAATATTGTAAGTGGCTTGGTGTGTGTGGGATGGGGAGAGCAAAGGGAATCTTTCCTGACACCCTAGATCCTTCTGCATGAGATCAGCCTTATGAAAAAAGAAAGTTATTCTTGGTCATCTCCCTTCACCCCCAACTCCCACTCATGCCCCACCTCCTGCACACACTGATATCCAACTCTCAATTGAGAAGAACACAATTTAAGATTTTCATTGGGCCCATAAGTATCTCAGGCACTAGAGAAGGGCAGGGGGTGGGAAGAGACATGAATTGGGGGGAGGTGAGTTGCTCATCCTTGTGACCCAGAATATCTCCCCCTCCCTGTAATGATGAGCTTGCTTTTCCATAGGGCTTTCCTTTGATTCAGGGAAGGGGCCAACCAATGAGAGAGGGGCATGTTAGATTATTTTGGGGAAGGACTTATGCCAGGAGGGTTCACTTTTACTAAGCAGCAAGTGGCCCCAGCAACCAGTGTCTCCTGCAGAAGCTCCAGGACTCTCACCCACTTGCCTGACTCTGCTTCGCCTTTGCCCACTGAACAGCTATGAGGAGGCAGCTCCGGTCCAGAAGGGCTCCGGTCTTTCCTCACAGTTATCGCTACAGACTTGTGAGTCCCAGGGAACAAAATACTTTGCTGCTTCTTTTTAGTGGGGTGGGTGGGGGTTGTGTATGTCTTGGCTTCTGGCTTCTTCTCTTTGGGATGGCAGGAACAGTGAAGTTTAAGGAAGCACATAATTTCAAGAGCCAGCAGTGACTCCCAGCATTCCATTTTACCTTAAATTTCTGGGTTGAAAGAGGAAGCCTCTCTTCCTAAGGAAGAGAGATAAGGGAAGGGGAAGATGCTAGATAATGAGAGGAAATTTTTCTTGAGAGCTTAGAATTAGAATAAACATTTTGGAGTCTGGGAGTAAAGGTTTCATTCTGATAGCAGGAAATTTAACCAAGAGAGAGGGGAAGGGGAAGGGGAAGAGGAAATGAAAAGCACTGCCTACTCAGCTGTCTTGGTCCCTTTTGGTGGTAGCTTCTTAGAAACCCAGCTGCTCTTTTACTAAATTTCTTTTACAGAAATTCCAAACTATAGCTAAAATCATAGAATCCTAGATAGAAGCTGGTAGTAATCCTAAACATCATTTCTCTAGAACCCCTCATTATGTTGAAAAGGCTGCTGGGGCTCAGAGCATAGGAGTGATTGAAAATTAGTGGAAGTGCCAAGGTGAAAATGCAAGTTTTCTCACTTCTAATCTTGTGCTCTTTCCATTATACTTGCAGTATGCAATTACCCAACCCTCAGACCCCCCACCACTCATTGCCATCCTGCCTGTTATCCCAACCTCTCTCTCTCTCTCTCTCTCTCTCTCTCTCTCTCTCTCTCTCTCTCACACACACACACACACACACACACACACACAATTTGATGCCAACATTTATCACCAGAGTGCATTGCATATTTTTTGAACCCAGAGTTTTTTTACATTTGCTTTGTTATAATTCATTAATACATGCCACACACAGTACTTGTTTGAAGAGGGGTTTATTCTGAAATCTCTTCTCCCCCCCCCCCAGAGGATTTCTATCTGAGCCCCAGAAGGAAATAAAGCTTAATCCATTTTTCTTTAGGAATCACCATTTATATAATCAGGGAGATAAGTAAAAACAACCAGCAGAGGAAAACATAAAGTATTGTAATCTTATATGCACCTAAAAGGGGCTTCCCTTAACTTTCCATCTACAATTTGTAAAATCTTTCTTTTGACATCTCAAAATTCCTTCCAGCTCTTACAGCAGTCACAATCTGTAGGACATATATAACTGTTTTTTATTTGACTTCTTTTCTGTGTAATTTTGATGATTTGTCAATTGGTTTGTATTTTCTTCTTGTTTATTATTTTATTTTTTCAATTACAATTTACATTAACTATTTTCTGTATTAGTTTCATATGTACAACATAGTGGTTAGATAGTCATGTACTTTACAGAGTGGTTACTTGATATTTCCATTATCTATCTGGCCCCATACATAATTATTATGATATTATTGACTATATTCTCTTTGCTATAATTTACATCTCTGTGACTATTCTGTAACTACCAATTCATACTTCTTAATCCCAATTCCTTCACCTTTTATTCCCAGTCCCTCAACACCCTGCCCCACTGTCAAGCATCAGTCTGTTCTCTGTATCTATGAGTCTGTTTCTGTTTTGTTCCAATTTGGATTTTCAATGCATCAGGGGATCTTGCTCTTTATAAAGAACACAATCAAATTTAAATTTTAAAAAATTTTAAAATAATTTGATGCAGTGAATAATTGTGTGCTAATTTCTCTTTGAAAATTAATAAATAATTTTTAAAATTTATTTCTATAATTAACAGTATTACAGATGCCCTCCATTTTCCCCCTTTGCCCCCCTACACCCAGCCCCTGCCCTACCCCAGGCCTTCCCTAAGTTATTGTCCGTGTCCATGGGCTATTGTTCAAATGTTTACAGGGTATTACTCAATGCAGGACACAAATTTATCCTTTGGGTCATACTGCTTGTTTATATATTTGTTTATATGTTTATATATTTAGAATTCTCAAAATGGAGCCACCCTCTGTCCTTCAGACTCTTTCCTTTTAGGGCAACATGATGGCCCCAGCACACACCCACTATTATATCCCAGCACATTCACACTATCACATGAGGGCAGTGCCACTTTAGGAAACTGACAAAAGCAGACCCTCTCATTACCAAAGGATTCCTTACTGGATACCGTTAAATAGTTAGTTGCACAAAAGCACCTCTCTTCCACATAATGAGGTTCCCCTGTACCTAGAAGCAGGGGAGTGGGAAAAGATATTTGAGGTTCTTGATACTGAGGCATCTTGAGAGCCATGGGGAAATCAGCTCTGAGAAGGTTAATTCTTCCCTCGAGGGTAAAGCTCTAATGACAAGCCATCTTTAATAGGATTATAATGAGAGCTCATATCTACAAATAAGATCAGGCTGAGGTCAAGGCCAGCTGCCTCCTCTGTGGAGCAGAGGTGGAGGGCTGGCATAAAGGCACAAGGAGAGAAAAGGAAGTTGTTCAGAAAATAAAAAGGGAATATAAATCCCCCCGTAATGAAATGTTACATTTTAAATTCTCTGAGATTTTCAGTTGCAGTAGATTCTGTGGGGGCTATGATGACTACCCACTGCAGTCTACATGACTGTTGAAGTTAGAGTGAAAGCTCTGTGAAAACATTTCCCCAGAGTCAGGCAGTTGTTATTGATATTTATTAAGTACCCACTGGTTACCTAGCTGTGGACTTTGGACCATCGAGGTGTTAGAATATAGACACTGGCCCCTGGTGCTCAGAATACATTTTGGGAGGTCAAATGTGTACATATGTTCACCCCAAGTGAGATATAAGAACTTTCTTAATCCATTCAACATTGAATAATGGAGTTTATTTTCCTAAGCCTTACAGTGTAAGTCCATGTCAGAGTCAGAAATCCTCAGTTATAAGTACCTACTATATTTTGGGAACATAGAATCTAACATATTATTGTTCTCCATAAATCTGCTAAATCACCTTTAGGCACTTGTGCTCAATGTGACGGAGGAGAAACATTATTGTCTAGGGTATCAGGAGATAAAAGTTCTGGGACTGACAATTCTATCATGAACTTGCTATGTGGCTCTGTTTAGAGCCTGTTCCCTCTTTGAGCCTCAGATGGACAAGGTTACTATCATTTTTTATATAGTGTGTGATATAAAGCTGCATATTTGAACAAATTAGGGAGTAATTCCAGAGTGCTTATAATCAAGAGTTAGATAGGGCTGGGCAGACTGAATGCTGAGTAGAGCCTTATCATTCTATATCACTTTTATTGATTCTGAACAATCTAATTTTCTGAGGTCCCTCCCCATGAATGGCAGAATTGAGTGTCCTCTAAATGGCCTTTGAGGAATTGAGCAGGGAGGGGGCAGCATGGAGCCCCTGGCCTCTATCATTCAACACATCCAACCCCAACAGGTGCACAGGCCCCGCCACTCTGCAGATTTGGACAGTTAGAGAGAAGGGAGGGCGACCTCATTTTCTGCTGCTGCAATGAGCCTTGGCAGATCCACAAAGAACAAAGATCCAACTCTCTGGCCTGTGGCTGGGAGGCATTTTAAATACCATTTGGTGAAGTCTGGTTTTTTCCCCCTTAGAACCACTCAGAGAATATTACAGTTTCACATCTCAAGTAATGGCTGCAATCAGTCAATCAACGAATATGTGCCGAGCACTTACTACATGCCCAGATTTTTGCCTAGTGTATGGGGTTTGAGAGGAGGGAGACTAAGGAAGTGTCAGTTGGGGTACTAGCCCTCAGGTTTTAAACCAGCTTAAGATAGAAAGAAATTCCAGACCTGGCAACAGACAGAGAAGCAGCAAATAGCAACCCCCACCCCCATCACTTGTTTCTGCTGGGAGTTGGTAAGGCAGTCTACATTTTGAGAAGGGGTATAGCAGTTGGCCTCTCCACTTGATGTCTATCCAAGGCTATTTTTAGCCACAACTTGGGATGGTGAGGTGGAGCAGCTGAAAGTGTACAGGGTGTTCAAATAAAGCTAGTTTGGACTTATAATTTACCATCATAGACACAAATGTCTAAAACTGCTCCATCCTCCAGCATTGAGCTCAGCTCTGTCCTGACAATCCAAAGTGAAGCAGGAGGCCAAGGCCCCAGGACAGAGTAATGACACAAGCAGTCCTGGAGGAAGAGTCCAAATACCTAAAGCAAGAATAAAACTTATACCTCTATGGAAAGAATATTGAATCAAAATGGTCATAGAAAGGATATTTCTTTCAAAAGAACAGAGAGAAAGAAAATATCTCTTGTAACAATGGGTATGTTTATGGGGAAGTGGAAAATTGAAGCATCTCCAAATATTAAGTCGTTTTCCATTTATATTTGGCTGATGGACTGTGCCACTGGAAATTTTTTTTTCAAAGAGGGGGATTGTGTTTTGTGGCTATTCCAGGATGATCAGGATGAAGTGAATCAGAATTACTTAGCAGATGAAGAGGAAGAAGCAGAAGAAGAGGCTCGAGTGATGGTGGTACACAATTTGGAAGAAGAGGAGGAGGAAGATGAGGTGAAAGAAGAGGAGGAAAAGAATGAGGAAGAGGGTCAGGGTCAGCCAACAAGCAACACCTGGTGGCGGAAATTGCAGATCATGAATGAGTACCTGTGGGATCCAGAGAAAAGGATGTCTCTGGCCCGAACAGGTCAGAGTTGGAGTAAGTCCCAGTTGTCCCAGTGCCCCACTAAAATGTCCTTTCCTTTTGGCTTGGTGTACAGGACTTGTTTACCATATGTTGGATGGGCTTGTCTGCAAACTTTTCTTAGGTATCATGTAAAAGGATCAATGTTGAGGGATATGTCTGGACTATGGGTAGATGCATCAGAACAAACTCCAACTGGGTGAACAAAATTGACTATAAGGCTGAAATCCACTGGGTTCAAAAACATTTGCAATGCAGAGAGACAGTAAGAATGAATTGGAAAGCACAGACATTTTTTAAAGTCCCAACTCTGTCACCTTCCATCTGTGTGACCTTGGGTTTACATTTACCTTCACTGAACCTCAGTTTCCCCGCCCAGCAAATGAACAATCCTTTTCTTGTCTTTCTCACAGGATCAGCCTGAGGCTCCAACAAGATGTTATCATTGTAAAGTTGAAAGTACTCTGAAAACTATTTCGAGGATATGATACTCAAATCCCTGCTAACCTTAGCAAGGATTTATAAAGCCTCATAATTTCACCTAGAAATGTCAGAGAAAGAGTAAAGAGGCCTGCCCCTAAACCCAGCTTTTTGGTGGTTTACACTCCCGTGATGTACACAGAGAAATTATGTTTGAAAGGATAATTTCTAGAGATTAAGGCTGAGCCCCCAAATCACTTGATTAATAGAGGAGTCACATTTTTACTATTTCCTCTTTGTACAACATGCTGCCACCACTTCCACTTCACAACTTCCCCAGAACTCCTCTCCCAGGGTCTTACTCACCTCTTAAACTATTAGTGCTGAGCCTTCTCCTCAGGAGATTTTGCCTGTGGTCAAATTCACACTTGCCACACTGTTCTGTGCAGCCCAGAAAAAGAGCAGCTGCTGGTTTGGAGAAGAAAAAAAAATAGAGGACACCGTGGATGAAATGAGTTCCCTAGTGCCAAGGTTGCTGAAGTTGATGGTCATGCCTTCTAGAGGCCCTTTGGCTGAGAATTCTTTCCCTCATCATTTATGTTTCTAATTCAGTTCAATGAGGGTGCAGTCAAGGTGAAGCTAGTCCTGCTTCCTGGAATTAGGAATAGCAAGTGTGGGACTCTAAACAACATCTACCTCCCTTCACTCTTCCTCAGTTCTCAACCCCACCCCTGTACATCCCTCAAACGCTCTACTGGAACAAATGTACCATTCAGGGAACATTCCAACATTCTGAAGCTGCAAACAAATGCTGGACACTCATTGGGGCTCAAAAGGGGGCACAGCTGTTTCTCCCTTGCCTAAAGAGGACTGGAAAATCAGGCCTTGTGAAAAGCAAGTGTGATTCTGGGAGAGGGTGCCCTACATTAACCCCCAAGTAGCCAGCAATTGGAACTTAATCAGATGAGCTTATTAAAATTGCTCCTGTGGAGAACAAGTGATAGGCCAGTAAGTAGGGATGCTGGAGGAAGGTATAAGAGCCCAGGGAAGATATGGCAATGGGGACACTGCACAGTAGGCCCTATCCAGGCCTCTGGGTGCAGGTATAAGAACAGTCCAGGAGTTCTGGCTTCTTTTGTTCAGCTACCCCTGAGCTAAGGGAAAATAGTGATCCTAATGTTTTTGCCACCAAGCATATGCCTTGCTGCCCTCTTGCTTGAGAACTAGGTGTCCACTTGAGCTTGTACAGAAACATGACCAACATAATCACCCACTAGTACTAGGGGCCCAGTGCATGAATTTGTGCACCTTAAAAGGAACTGTGGATCTCGAGGTTGTGGTGGGCACAGGGACGGGTCGTGGCCCATCCTCCTTGCCCCCATCTGGACCCTCCCACTGCAGCCACTGGTGTTCTGTCTGCCTGCAGTCCCACTCTTGCCGCCACCACTCCCACATGCTAACAGTGCCAGCACCACTCACTCCTGCTGACCCTGCAGTGATTGGGGCTGGTTGGGAGTGGGGCCAGCAGGTACAAGCATCAGGAGGGACTGTGGCACAGGGGAACAAAGAATTTTCAGTAACTCCCAGACGCCCACCCCATAACAGTGACCTGCACCCCACCTTGGTCTGGCGCTCCTGCTCACCTGTTCCACCACCCCACTGCGGCCGACATCTGCCATGTTTCGTGCTCTGCTGCCTGCTGCAAATGCCCATCATGTTCCACGTGCGCCCCTGATTGGTTATTCAGTTGTTCGGTTGTTCCACCATTTGGTCTTTTTGCATGTTAGGGTTTTAGATGAACTTTTCTTTTGGTAGCTGGGCAAGCTCTATTCTCAGGAACTACATATTATTTCATTGGATACTGATAAGAACCATTTGAGGTAGTAATATTATCCCCATTTTACAGATGCAGAAACAGGCTTAGAGAGGGTAAGTAATTTGTTTAAAGTGACAGAGTTAATAAGTGGCAGTGTAAATATTTCTCTCTTTTCTGTGTCCAGCGTGGCTAGAGAGCAGTCTAGTTCCTGAGTAGGGGTGGCTGGGGATTGAGAAAATGAAAGGAAGAGGCAGACACAGAGATAGAAAGAAAAAGCCAGGACCGAGCGGGACCACTGTCCTCTGACAAGGACAGGGACAGAGACAGTGACCCTGAGCCAATACAGTATGTTTATTTTATACAGCAAAAAATGAGAAGTTTTACTAAAAGTCAAGACAAAGGAGATTATGTGCATTCTTGCGTGGGCCCCACGTTGTATTCATTCCTGGTGCTTGGCTGGGTTTAAATAACAAAATCCATCCCCTGGCACCTGGGAAAATCGTGTTCCCAGGATATGGCTTTGCCAACACCACTGGATTCAGCTGACAATAAAGAAATGCCATGTGCCTTCACAGGCGCTCTCTACGTAGCAGTACTGGGAGTCAAACCCAGATTGGATGAACACTAAGGTTCATTCTCTTGCCAGAATACTGAACCATCTTCATGAACTGTAGCAATGAGCAAGGCCCTAATGGGTAGAGCCTCAGGAACTGATGAGGGTGTTTTGGTGGGAGGAATGAAGAGTTGTGATTATGGGTACCTAGTCTATCCAAGATATCCAGGTCTACCCAAGTTTGGGTGGAACATTCAGAAGAGAGCCTTGGATTACCTACAGGAGTGGCCAATTAAAACTTGGATGTCCAGAGTATAAAGGGTTGATGGGGTCAATGAGTTCAGATGGGTATAGTGCTTGGTTTTGCCTATGGCTGAGATTCCAGGGCACAGACTCCTGGTTAAGGCTGAGAGGACTCATTGCTAGTGCCATTCTCCCATCTACAGCTTCCTGGCCACACATCATAGGCAGGAAGGAAGATGTTTCCAAGGGAGTTTACCTGTATTCTATTGCATTCCTTTCATCCATGAAACTAAGTATCCCAGTCCTTGAGCATGGCTTCAGCTGTTGATCTATCCTAGGATGGGGATGAGGGTAAAGGAATGGAAGAGATGGCATAGGGCACATCCTATTAGGACAGCCACTGGTCAGTAGCCAAGTATCACAGGCACACAGGTGTTGCTATTTCTTCTCCAGGGACTCCAGCTGAATCAATGCATTCATGTTCCAGTTCTGCTATAGTTTATCTTATAAAGCATAAACGTTCCATTTCTAGTTGAATTACTAAGGATTTTTTTCTTCTTTTCCAATCATTTTTGGTTAATTTTTTGGTTCATGGTTCAATTAAAAAATTAATATTTGGAATTGGGTTTCAGTATAGCAAAGTTATGTGGTTTGTTCCAGTTTCTGGTTCATGATTCAATTCAAATGTGTAGTTCCAACATCATGTCTCCGTTATTAGCAGAGCCAGATATTGTTGGCTGAAAGAGCCCAAGGAGGACTTGGAAAGAGCTTCTCAGCAACAATTTCACTCTTATTTACCTTACTCTGTGCTGCCTAATCCTGCAAATTTAATTCTAATATAGGCCACAGAGGAGGAATTCACAGTTATGCTATAGTAATAATAATATTAATAATAGTAATGATGAAAACTGCTCTTTATAGAATACTTGGTATCTGCCAGGCAGTGTTATGCTATTTATATGCATTATTCAAGTGCTATTATTGTCCTCATTCTATATATGAGAAAATTGAGGTTCAGATGTCTAAGATTAAATAGTTAGGAAGTAGTAAGGTCAGGATAAGATATAAGGAAAGAGTGAATTTCAGATACAGTAGTCCCCCTTATCTTCAGGGGATACATTCTAAGACCCCCAGTGGATGTGAACCCTACATATACTAAAATTTTTTCTGTACATACATACCTATGATAAAGTTTAATTTTTAAATTAAGCACAGTAACAATTACTAATAATAAAATGGAACAATTATAATAGTATACTATAATAAAAGTTCTGTGAATGTGGCATTATTAAATAAAACTAGAAACCTGATACATTAAGATTGGTGCTAGAAATGGCTTTCCTTTCCCTGGCTGCTGGCACCGCCTTTCCACTCTGGCCCCACCTTCCCACGCTGCCCAGAGGCCCTGAGAGACTGGGGTGGGTCAGAACACCTGCATCGTTGCCATGGCGATGATGCAAGTGCCCCACCCCCATCACTCAGGGCCTTTGTATGCAAATTAACTACCATCTTTGTTGGGTTAATTTGCATATCACTCCTGATTGGCTGGTGGTGTAGAAGAAGTATGGTCAATTTACATGTGTGTCTATTATTAGTAAGATAAGGGTGACTTGAACACAAGCACTGTGATACTGTGACAGATGATCTGATAACCAACACAGCTAATAAGTGACTAATGAATGGGTACCATATACAGCGTGGATAGCTTGGACAAAGGGATGATTCATGTCCTGGGCAGGATGGAGCCGAATGGTGTGAGATTTCATCATGTTACTCAGAATGGTGCACAATTTAAAACTTATGAATTTTTTATTTTGGGAATTTTCCATTTAATATCTTTGGACCATGGTGTTGGCCATGGGTAACTAAAACCACAGAAAGCAAAACCGTGGATAAGTGGGGACTACTGTACTGATACAAATATGAAGAAGGATATGAGGTAAGTGCTAACCTTATTCCCATTTTACTATGAGGAATCTTGGGTTCAGAGAGGTTCTGTAATTTGCCCAAGCTCACAGGTAGAACTCACAGGTAGCAGGTGTCAATAATTAAGGATAGTTTCCTACTCTTCCCTTTCCTGTCTTGTGTTAGTATTCTTTTTGAAAAGCAGAGCCACTTAAACTTTTGCTAAAGATGAATAAGATATAAAATAAGTAGGGTGAAACCTCAATTTACCTTGATTAGGGGAAATCCCATGGAAATTAATAAAAAGTTTGACTTATAGGTTATGTGAAAATAAATGCTGTTTCCATCCATTGTAAATACATATAATCACTGGAACCAAGCTTCTAGGACTCTTCAGGGCACCTGCTTTGATGAATAGTGAAGAATGATTTGTGCCTAGGACATCAACTGTTGCCCAGAGAACTCCTAAGCATTTTACTCACTGCAGTATTTTAAACTCTATTCTGTAATCCTGTTCATTGTTATCATTTGCTCAGTAAGCCCTTCCATCAAAGACACAATTCTCACCAATTCCAAATTTTTGAAATCTAAATGAGCAAGGAAGGATATACTGAATCTGGGGCAAAACAAACAAACAAACAACAAGCAAAAAACCACATCTCATATGTTTGGATTGGTTCTGGTTCATAAATTCAATTGAGGATGCAGAATCTGTTGGCAAGCACTGACCACTTTCATCTCTGATTGTTCTGCAGGCTTGATCTTAGTCATTTACTTCTTCTTCTACGCCTCCCTGGCTGCTGTGATCACCCTCTGCATGTACACGCTATTTCTGACCATCGGTCCTTACATGCCAACATTCACTGAGAGGGTGAAGCCTCCTGGTGAGTGCCCAAATGCCCTGTGTTATCAGAACTTGCTGGACAGAAATCTGCTTGCACAGCATGTTCAGCCTCAATTAACTTTGGCTCTTCCCAGTAATGACTTAGGGATTCAATTATTAAGAGTAAAAGTAAATTGGTACTTGGCAAATTATGATCCTTTTCATTTTGATTGCCTGGGGGGAAATGGTTTCATGGGAATCAATACCAAAAAAAATTATCCCAAGAATGGGTTAATATATCCAAGACCTGTTTTCATTGCCAGGAGTTATGATCAGACCCTTCGCCCATAGCCTTAACTTCAACTTCAACGTTTCTGAACCTGACACTTGGCAGCATTATGTGATTAGCCTAAATGGCTTTCTCCAGGGTAAGTAAATTCCTCTGAATGGTGCAAATCTCTTTGGAAAGGTTCTGGGTGGGAATTAAAAATTCACCTGGCCTACTCTTACTAACCTCAGCCCATCCTGATCTTTTCTTACCTTGCATCTCCCTCAGAACCTGTAGATACATTCAAAACTGCTCTAATTTATGGTTGTATGTTTCCTTGAAAACATATAAGCCAACTTTCCAGCAATCTAATAAGTCAATTGGGGCAGAGAACCTGTCTTCTCTTCTTTAACACTATAGCACCTAGTTATGACTTGGGCACATCCAAATGGCTCAATAATGATAGATTATTAAAATATAATTTGGGGGGGGGTAGTGGTGAGAAAAGAAGAATGTTCTGCAGAACTGGAAGGTCTCTATCTCCTACACTTTCTCAAGGTAAGATAATTCATTTCTTGGAGATGGGCCATCTTGAAGTAATAAAGCAAGGGTCTTTATTTAACAGCATTCCAGAGGGAGTTAGAGAGAAAAAAACAAAAACAAAACAAAAAAAACAACAACTCTGGGTGACAGTCACTCCTACATTTTAATCAGAAGTGTTTTCAAGATGCTTATGTCTGTAGTGTCATCATATACATTTTCAGTAACTAATGAATGGCTTTTTGAAAAGCCCTTCCACAGGGTGAAAACTGAGGTAGCAGCTTGGTTAGAGTTGAACAGAGCACACACCTCTGTATTTATCCATCTATGAAAGAGGAGCTCTAGTGAGTTGACCTGTGATTTCTGAGAGAAAATCCAGTTAGACTAATTTCGTTGGCGTGGCCTGGCTGAAATGGGAGGGGGTGAAGTGGGAGTGGCCAGTAGAATGTGGACTGAATTAAGAGGAAAACTATTTCTTATGTGATAGGAAGTGTTCTTTAAATAAATAAATTTTGTCATTTAATTTTAACCCTGCAGAGCAGAGTGTATTGTCTCATTTTAAAAATGGGAAAATTGCCGCTCAGAAAGGAGGAGCAACATGATCAAAGTCTCCTAGGAGAACCAGTGTTTAAACCCACATCCGTTTTCTTGACACCCTTGGTACTCAAAGTGTAATCCAGGGACCAGTTACATAAGCATCACCTTGGAGTTTGTTAGAAAGGCAGAATCTCAGGCCCACCCTAGACCTGTTGAATCAGGACCTGCATTTTAACAAGATCTACAGGTCACTTTGTATGACTATTAAAGCTTGAGAAGTGTTGCTTTTCATAATTCTTTGATGTTGGCATATGATTGAGAATTAGAAACTCAGTATTGTATCAGTAATACTGGTGTTATTTTGGGTAACTAAGTTTCAAATGGCTGGGTTCTTTCTGAGTCCATGCAGTTCAATTTTTGGACCCTCAAATGTCTTGGACATCATAGCCAGCACAATATCTTCTTTACTTTCAAAATGCTTGTGAGCTATTGCAAATGTACTGCTGGGTTCTCTGCTGAGGAAATTCCTGAGAAGCTAGTAGGTGGAGAAATACCACTTCTGACCTGATGAGAGAGGTGGGGAACATTAAGAAAAGCATTTTTTTGTTGTTGTTATTGTTATTTCTAAGCATAGATAATGTGCCCTGTTTAAAAGGAACACATCTCTGAAATAGAAATCCCAGAGTATCAATTTCATTCCCACGAGGACTGGGATTTTGCAATATGGGTCATGCCCATGTCACATTATTTTTTATGGAACTACTTCAAGAGAAACAATGAGTACATGATTAGAGCTTTTATTTAGAAAGTTATTATTTGAACATAGTTCTTTTTTAAAAATCTTTTAAAAAATATATTTTATTGATTTTTTTCAGAGAGGGAGAGAGAGGGATAGAGAGTTAGAAACATCGATGAGAGAGAATCATCTATTAGCTGCTTCTTGCACACCCCCTACTGGGGATGTGCCCACAACCGAGGTACATGCCCTTGACCGGAATCAAACCCGGGACCTTTCAGTCCACAGGCCGATGCTCTATCCACTGAGCCAAACCGGTTTCGTCTGAACATAGTTCTTGCTCTAAAAAATGATTAAAGCAAAACCTTGAATTGAATGTAGCTTTGTCTGAGGAATAATAAAGACTTAGCCATAACTGGAATATATTTAAAATTCCCAGTTGCTTCCTAAAAATACCAAACCCAGGTTACAACATGTCTAGATGAAGATCCAGCAGTACATTTGGAGTTTTACCTCTGGTAGATTATAGATACACAATCTTCTCTGAAAAACTGAGCTACTTGGAAGATGAATGCACAGGGGCTAGATCTAACAGGACTAACATTATCATTTAGAACCAAATTTGAACTAATGCAGTAACTTCCAAAACCTAGATCTATGATATCTAGTAACCCAAAAAGTCAGCTCATAGATACCCCCTTTCAGATCTCTCCCTGACAAGGGTACCTTGGACACATGTTACATTCCATTCAATGTAAAGAGACACTTACATTGCTTCAGGTCTCAGTAGACAAGATCTCACCCCCTCACCCTCTCAATGGAGATACTATGGTTGTTATTGACTTCTGACTTTCAACCTAAGCTTCTATTTTGCAGTGCTAACTTCTCTTTGTAAAGAATGAGGAACTTTTTTATTTTCTCCTCTTCCTCCTGTTCCTCCTCCTCTTTCTCCTCTTCTTCTGCCTCCTCCTCCTTCTCCTCTTCTTCCTCCCCCTTTACCTGTCTCACAACACACACTTCTCTCTCTCTTGCATCAGGTGCCTCTCATTAACTTCAAAGGGATATGTTTCTTAGGCTGAGCTTAAAGAGATTTAATGCAGGAGCTTTGCTGCCTCATATGCCATGCCTTGACCTGATCCATTCCCTCCTCCAAAATCTGCCTACTATATACCTATTCTTCTCCCAGAAGTAGAAGAGGTAGAGTTCCACATTTAAAATTTACCACGTCTGAAAAGAAATTATGAAAAGTAGAAGTTATAAAGTGACCCAGAGATGGATATCCAAAAGTTCTGAGGAAGCAAGAGGGCAGTCAATCAAAGTGGGCTGAGGGAATATCCTAGAAAGTGTCCTGGAGACATGTTGTTGATGAAGGGCCTTGACCTGATGACATGTCACAAGGCCTAGGACAGATTGAACAGGCTTTCAGAGGAGCACAAGCAAGCTGGAGAAAGGAAACTAGGAAGGAGGACTACTGAAAACATGGTCTTCCCATATAGCACCCATCTAACATGTCTCCTTGCTACCCACACACACTTTAGGTTATAATGACAGTCTTCAAGAGGAAATGAATATAGATTGTCCTCCAGGGCAGTACTTCATCCAAGATGGAAATGAAGATGAGGACAAGAAGGCCTGCCAATTTAAGCGCTCCTTCCTGAAGAATTGCTCTGGCCTGGAAGACCCTACTTTTGGCTACTCTACTGGACAGCCCTGCATTCTTCTAAAAATGAACCGGGTATATTGGCCCTTGACACTCTGGCTATAAGTGGATAAGCTGACTATAAGTAGGAGGGCTTTGGACACTCCATTTCTCTTGGGCTCTGTCTTCACACATTGCCATTTTTGCCACTTTTACTGACAGCATCAGTAATATAAACAACCAGACAAACTATCAAGCAATAATTCTTTTTTTCTCCTTGGACATTCCCTGTTTCCATTCTTCTCCCACCCCCCCAAACCTCCCCACTTTGATGCTCTCTGTCAGGAATGATATCCTGAGTTGTTTGGAACAAAAAGTTGACATGGGGTGGGGTGAGGGACAATTCCCATATCACAATAAATGCATTTTTCTTCTCTCCTGCCGTGTCTTAGAGGTGTGGCAAAGTCTCACCAGGCACTCCCTTATTGAAAGCCAGAAAGTTATTTACACCTTCAGGGTTATCTGAATGCAGTTACCACTCTATGAATGTCAGGCACAAATACAAGGTGGAAGCTGAGTTGCACAGCTCTAAAGATATTTTACATTTTTTGCTTTTTGTATCATTTGTGAGAGGGCAGAATACATTAAGCTTATGTCTAGGAAGGGATGACTCAGAGGGGATTTATAAAAGCCCCATTTTTACTGTCAAATGTGTTTTTCTTTTTCTTTTTCTTTTTTTTTTTTAAACACTCTGATTTTCTTTTGACAGATTGTAGGTTTTCGTCCTGAGCTTGGAGATCCTGTGAAAGTTTCCTGCAAAGTTCAGGTAAAGTGACTTTTTGAGTAAGCTTTGCTAGCACATCTATTTCATGCAAAATGGTGGCTCATACCTTCCAAGGCTTTACCATGGATGGTTGACTACGAGTTAGGGAAAGGGTTAAACTTTTCAAAACTACACCACCCTTTAGTAACTTCAGGCCTCCCTATTTCCAGAAACTATTAATTTCCTATGTGTTTGCGGTGTATGTGTGTGTGTGTGTGTGAGTGTGTGTGTGTGTGTGTGTGTGTGTGTGTGAGTGTGTGTGTGTGTGAGTGTGTGTGTGTGTGTGTGTGTGAGAGTGTGTGTGTGTGTGTGTGTGTGTGAGTGTGTGTGTGTGTGTGTGTGAGTGTGTGTGTGTGTGTGTGTGTGAGAGTGTGTGTGTGTGTGTGTGTGAGTGTGTGTGTGTGTGTGTGTGTGTGAGTGTGTGTGTGTGTGTGTGTGAGTGTGTGTGTGTGTGAGTGTGTGTGTGTGTGTGAGTGTGTGTGTGTGTGTGTGAGTGTGTGTGTGTGTGTGAGTGTGTGTGTGTGTGTGTGAGTGTGTGTGTGTGTGAGTGTGTGTGTGTGTGAGTGTGTGTGTGTGTGTGTGTGAGTGTGTGAGTGTGTGTGAGTGTGTGTGTGTGTGTGAGTGTGTGTGTGTGTGTGTGTGTGAGTGTGTGTGTGTGTGTGTGTGTGTGAGTGTGTGTGTGTGTGTGTGTGTGTGTGTGTGTGTGTGTGTGTGTGTGTGTGTGTGTGTGTGAGTGTGTGTGTGTGTGTGTGTGAGTGTGTGTGTGTGTGTGTGTGTGTGTGTGAGTGTGTGTGTGTGTGTGTGTGTGTGTGTGTGTGTGTGCTGATTTTACCTGTGAAAGCCAAAGACTGAACCTCAGCTAAGGGCCACAGCAGGGAACAATAATGCGCCGTCATTAATTGGGATTCTGTTTACACTTTTGGGTTTTGCTCTAATTACTTGTTTCTTTGAACTAAACAAACAGCTTTCGTTAGAGTCATTAGTCCCTGCTTTTAAAACTGAATTTCACTTTTTGTAGCAATGGTCAGGGCACTGGTGTTGCAATAACAAATGACTACAAGGGAGTGTAAACAGAACTCCATTAATATGCTAATTAACTGTCCTTGGAGGGACCATTAACTCCTATCTCATCTGTCCCAATTAGCTCCTTTGTAAGAAAAAGCCCTAGATCTGGGATTTGCTTCTTAAATTGGCAGTAGCTCCCTCCTGTTTGACAGCACCAACTGTACCCTAAGCCCTGGACAATTGCCTTGCAATTGTGTGAAGCCAGCTAATGCCATTTTCAGTACTAGAAATACAGCTCAAAACCCTAGTCTTGATGGTGGCAGATCAGAAAGCATTAAAGGCAGCATTTATTGATCACTTACTATAGATCAGGTACTTTGCTAGGTGTTGGGAGTGCAAAGATAAATATAACTCCCTGAAATCAGGACAGTCAAATATTATAGGTGCTATGAAAGGTGCAGTGAGGGCCTTGACTAGGGAAAGGTTGACTCCATGTGGAGGGTGATGATGCTGAAGATGAGCTTTGAAAGATCAGGCTGTGTTTGCCAGGTGAACAGGTAGAAAAATATTAATTTTGTTCACATGCACGTGAGTATGTGTAAATAAATATATACTCATGCAAGGCATGACCATAAACTAGTAGAATTGATTCCACCTACCATTCACAAAAATGAATTTCATATCCCTTTAGAAGAATATGTAAATAAATCATAAAGACCAACTATGTCTGAGAGTAGTGTATTAATTGAATGGAAGCCATTCATTTTTCAGCTTACATCAAACCTTGCTGAAAATGTTTTTTTATTTAAAAAAACAAATATTAAGGGTCTTTATGCATTCTATAATAATCAATACTGGTCAATCTACACCCACTTGTGGAAATCAAGCAGGATGAGGTAATCACTAGAATACATTAAGGAAGGCTGTTTATGTTAAGAACGATTATACTATATTGACAGAAGTCATCACATGGCCTAGTGAGTGATTTCCTAGTAGTGACACACAATTTGTCCCTTATTAGCCCCCAGACTTCTATTATTCAGGGCAAGACTAATGCATAGGCAGAATGGGCAATCCTGGCATGAAATAATGAGGGAAGACTTGTTTATTTAATCTAGTACTGGGCCCCACTTGCTTATCCTCTTGACTTCACCTACTGTAATTAAGCACTACAGAGAATGTGAGTTTAGGTGAGCCAACTATAGGCTGTATCCCTGTGTACCTGGTCTGACTTCCAACAGAACCAAATCCACAATGAGTAAGTTGTTGTGGGTGGGATTTAATAAACATGTTTCAGTTTACAGCCGCCTCAGCTCCCAAGTCCGGAGCCAGGCCCATATGATTCTTTTGGCAGGGCTCGCCTGGTAAGTCCTCTTGCCAGAGCAGCACCAGGTATTATACTTCAAGCCCCTTGGAGCCCTTCTGTCTGGGTCTCCTAGGAGCCAGCACAGAGCCATACTGAGCACCTTCAGCCTCCTAAGTTCTGGCCTTCTAGTCAGTATTTTTTGAACCGAAAAGCCAAGGCACAATCTCTCCCTGGAAATGCTTCTCTGGGAATAGTTCTGGGTTGAGCTCTGTTTCATTCTGCTTCCATGGTCTTCTTGGGAGAGGTGGTTGTGGGTCTCACAGTGATTTCACCTGGGGCATAGGCCCCTTAAGCTCAGGCTCCAACCAAGTGACCCAGCACCTCATGTATGCCTGCTTTTACTTACAGAGAGGTGATGAAAACGACATCCGATCCATCAATTACTATCCAGAGTCGGCTTCTTTTGACCTCCGCTACTACCCTTACTACGGCAAAATGACTCACGTAAGCCTGTATCCCCTTCTGTCTTTGCTGTCAAAAAGGGCTCAGAGGCAAAGGAAAAGCTGGCTGGGATCTATGAGAGTTAGGGAGTAGGTAGTAGCAACAGAAAGGTGAATAGCTGCTGGCCAAGACCAGGAGCCCACTCTACCAATTCCTATCATAAGTACTCCTTTCCATATCTAAAGGAGTCTCAGCTATAGTGTGGTCTAAGTCCCTCAGTTTACAGATAGACAAACTAGGGTTCTGAGAGGAAGTGATTTGCTCAATGTCATGTAGCATTGTGACAGAGCCAGGAGCAAACAAATCACTGCCATTGCACTAAATTATGCCCAACAATCTCACTTCCCTCTTCCTTCCATTTGAGGCCTTTGGGTAGTGAAAGCTTCTTCTCTAGCATTGAGACTTGACAGATAGTTCCCATTTGATTCATGGATTGATATCCAGGAAATCATACCATACTGAGTTAGAATTGGTTTTCCCCAGAGGACAATCAGACATCTGACAGTGACTTATGAGAGAAATATGTAATTTCCCCGCTGCCTGAGGGCAGAGAGAGCATGTCATTTGCTTTAGCCATTTGTGTCTTAGAATCATGGATTTACTCAGTTCTCTTTTGGAGGTTATCCCATCCTGCACTGATCACTTCCATCCTATCACTCTCCCACACAGCCACCTCTTTTCACACTTAGAATTAATTGTTCTTCCATTTACAGGTTAACTACACCTCCCCACTGGTGGCAATGCACTTTACAGACGTGGTGAAGAACCAAGCGGTGCCTGTGCAGTGCCAACTGAAGGGCAAAGGCATCATAAATGATGTCATCAATGACCGTTTTGTGGGCAGGATAATCTTTACTCTGAACATAGAAACTTAAGAATATCAGAGGGGCCACACTCACCAGTTCTATTTCTGTTTTATTTCATGTTATCCTTGGTAGCACCTGAATTCTTTTTCTTCAAATCAGGACACAGCCAGTTGGACACCTAAGAGCAGATCCTCTTTCCTTGCCTTTGACATATGTATAAAATGACATTGTGGGAACTATTTGATTTTTTAAAGGTGGTTTCTCCTGATGACAGATTATATTAATTTCCTTTCCCCCACTTAAAACTAAAATCCATTCTTGCTGCTAGAAATCTCAGTGTAGTACAAACATAGTATATGATAAAATTCACAGTAGCCATGAAGGAGAATTTCTATGATGATTATAAATTCATTGTTTTCTAAAACGTTGTTGTTTTTAGAGGTGAGATTCCTCCCAACTAGGACGATAACCTGCTTGACAAGGTTCTTCTGTGGGAATCACCAGTTAGATCAACCCAGAATATATCTAGGGCCATGATACTTAAGAAATTCTATAGCCTGTCTCATGTGGGCAACTAAATACTGATTCAAAGACTAGGGTATCTTCAACTGAAAGCATGCTAACTGGATATTGCTCTGGATAGAGATGAAGACTTTGCTTATGACTTTTTTTTTGGGGGGGGGGAGGCAAGGCCCACTGCAATTGAGAAGAATACCTATTATGTGGATGTGATTTGTATTTGATTCCTCGATCTACGGTATAATCATCCAAACATTCCTGCAAACAGGGTTGTCTCAGCTTCAGGAAGAGGAGAGAACAAAGAAGAAAATCTCTACCCACTATTTCTTTTGGGCTATTTGACAGTAGTGTGATGATCTTTGAGACCATGAGAGATGTGTGTGTTGACCCCCCAGCTACAGCTCTAGGGATTGAAATCATGGTCTGCAACTGATACATTATAAGACAGAAAGCTTCTTACAGGAAACCCTAATTCAAGACCCATTAGTCAGATTTTCATTTGCCTAAAAATTATATGAAGCAGATGTTTATCCAGGCTATTGATCAGCCCAGCTGCTTTGTCATATCTTTGGCCACTGCTTCTTAACACCTCCACGAGGGGGAGAGATGGGACAAGAAGAAGCGAACATTAGAGAATAGTGTAGTGTCTCAGGATCCAAAGCTAGCTTAAATGCCACCTAGAAGCATCCAGAGTCTGAAACTACTCTATAATGTTTACCTTTTTTTCAAAAAGGAACTGGTTGTTTGGTAGTGAAGACAAACAAGTGAAGAAGTAATTACAGTATAGTGTGACCACAGTTCTAAAACTAATATGTGGATATGCTATTGGAACATGAGGAAAAGTTACTAACTTGAGCTGAGAAAGTAGCAGGGGAAATTTCACATGCAAAGTCACAATCAGGAAAGATTATGGTGTGTTTGGTTATTTGTGAGCAGTTCATGTCATTGGAGTATAAAGGGCTCAGAGAAATGGCAGGGGGTGACCGGGAGTTGGGCTAGAGAGGTATGCAGGTACCAAAAGAGGACTTTTCATTTTATCCAGTAGGTGAAAATGAGTCATTAAAGCAAGGAATATCTGTGACCATATTTGCATTTTAGAAAGAGCACTTTGGCAGCCATAATGTGAAGAGTGGATTGGAGATGAACAAGACTGGGGAATGGGCAATGAGGGATAAAGAAGAGTCGAGAATGACTCTGAGGTTTTGAGCTTGGCTAGAGCCAGTGAGATGGTGATACTGTTGACCATGACTGGGAATACAAGAGAGAAACAGTATTGGAGAGGGAGATGTTGAGATCAATTTTGGACATTTTAGGCTTGTGATTTCTATTGGTCAGATATTGGTGTGGAGATGTAAACACTAGTTGGGTTGGAGAGAAGGAAATCTGAGAACAAAAGCAAGATTTTCTTAAGCGAACTCTCTTAAGAAATTCTAAGCTATTTAATCTTGGGAATTAGAGCCAGTTATGTAAACACATCACACCAATGTAGTCTCTCAGATAGTGTTTTTCTCTTGGCTTTGTGGCAGAAAGGCTGCTGCTCTTTGGAATCTTCTTCCCAGACACCTTCCAATTTCTGCCAACTCTTAACAACAGAGTAGAGGGGGGTTGACCACTATTAACAAGTAATAGAAGATATATGACAGCAGATCCGTGGAAAATACGAAAAACAATAAAACTGTATCCTCCTAACACTTTCTTACCAAACTCGATTTTAAAAACTAACCTTAACAAAAATCAGACAAGACACATAAAGACAATAACTTTTAAACCATTTAAAAATCACCTCAAATAAACTCTCAAGATTCAGTAGTAAAAGATCACATTAAATCTGGAAAGGATATTAGAGAGCATTTAGGGAAAACAACCTGCATTGCATCTGACTCCAGGTCCAGTGCTCTTTCTACTCTGAGCTGCTGCTTACCAGGAAGTACCATCTTTTTAAAAACCAATGAATGATATCCCCAACATTTTAAAACGTATGTCAAATTTGAGTTATAATAGTTAACATTTTACAGGAATTCAATTACTGGTGCTATAGTTTATACATAATACATTATCCTGTTAAATATGCTAACTATTAAACAAACAAGGAATTATGAATCTTTTGTCATACAGTATTTCTCATTCAATGAAACCCATTGTTTCCACAGTTTCAAATAAATGTTGAAAAGTACTAGGATAGTTTGGGTTGTCAGCTGGGACATAAACAAATACCTTTTTTAATACAGAATTGGATATTATAATGTAATCATTATTAAATTGAATTTTAACAGTTCAATAACTTCTAGTTGATTAATTCAAATAGTCCCCCACATTGTGCTATACCAGTGTTTTATCTGTATACAATTTATTGCAATGCACTTGGTTTTACTTGATTGTCAATGAGAAATACTACTTCAAAATGTCTTCATGGTTTTGTCCATGCTTAGACATGTGATTTTCAACCCTCCCCTCTCTGAAATCATTTTCCTAAAGTAATCTCTTAGGCATTATTTTCTGGGAATCTTCATGTAGAAAATATTAGTATTGTCTTGGTAACTTGTTGACAACAATAAATAGATTTTTAAAAAGTGTATGATTTCCTCTTTCTAGACTGTACCACTGATTTTCCCACTGGAATATTGGGCATCTATGTAGGTGGAAAACTTGACAACTGACAGCCCATTAATTTAATACTTTCTCTCCCCCCACCTTTTTCCAACTCTTGGGATTTAGCCATGGGAGGATGAAACTAAGTTGTTTCATTCTGAGCATTTTTTATTTTGCAGTCTCCATGCTCTGGTTTCTCAGAAGACTACTTTCTCAGAGTAAACTTCCTTTCTTCACCAAAGTTGAGTCCAGGTACAAATTGTTCTATGTGTTTGTGTAGAAGAACACTAAGCAAAAGTTGAGGTGGGGAGAAGGAACCAAAGTACAAAAGAAACTTTAATTGCTTGAGGAAAGATTGGCTAAGTGACTTCAGTGCACATCTGGCCAGAAACTGACTCCCAGAGCAAATCTGTAGTGGTAATTGCAATTCATGACAGAAATATTTATCTCCCTTGTTTGATTCAGAGACTAGGATACAGTAGGAATCTCTTCTTTCCTTGGAAGCTGCCTTGGCCTAAGGTCTACATGAATAATAGAATTGCATTGGAGAGAGGTCCGTGATCCCAATATATTTCTTCCATCTAGGTTCTTTGTTAGAATAATCTTCCTTACTGACTTCCTTTTAAAATATCCAAACATGATAAAGTAATTTTGCTAAATAATACAGAAATGTGATTTACATTATGATTTTATGCAGGCAGAAAATAGAGGTGTGCGTGTGTGTGTGTGTGTGTGTGTGTGTTGAGAGGTGGGGTAGGAATGGGATGGATGGAGGTACAGGGAAAGGGAAAAGGAGCTGGAAGACTAAATAGCCTGGCCTACTTCACAAAGTTATTTAGTTTCAGGGTAGGAGGGAAGAAAAGCTGACAGAGGTATCCAAAAAGTTTAAGAAGGATATAATAGGCTCTCAATCTAGCAGCTGAATCTTCCTTGCAGGCTCCTGTATGGGCATAGTATCAGTCAGTGTTCCTATAGGAAATAGTACATTTGACAAAATCGAATATTTGGAAAGGGGGTTATTGATAAAGAGGTTACTTATAAGTGTGTAGAAGTAGAGAACCACAGAGAATAGCACAGTAACCAAGGCTAGTGGTTCCCAGAGCTTTGAAGAACTGAGTCGAGTACAATTGACTATCTTGAGAGAAGTAGGGACTTGTTGAAGAGCTCAAGTAGCTCAAGGTGGGATTGTAGTGAGGGTAACAAAAATAAATACCCTACTTAATTTTCTGCCTTTCTCTGATCGCCTCTGATGGTAAATTCACCAAACCCAAAAGCCAAAGGACAAGGAAGCTCATTGATGTCCATACATATCAGCCTCCCAAGGAGGAGAGTGGAGAAGGTTGGACAGTGCAACTGGAGAGCAAACAGGAGATATATAACACAGCCACTAAGTGGAGGTTCTGTTGGGTAGACCCGTTGGAACCTGTACAGTGCTAGAAACATCTACTGAACCAACTGCAGTGATTGGGAAATTTTATCTTCATGCATACTCTGCTCTGTGGCTATGAGGTCAATATAATCCTTTCAAAGTCCCAACTTCCTATTTTCTTTAGAAATTGACAAGGTGACCCTAAAATGTATATAGAAATACAAGAGACCCAGAAAAGCCAAAAATAATATTGAAAAAGAAGAACAAATATAATTTAGAAGGCTCATACATCCCAATTTCAAAACTTACTACAGCCGAAACTGGTTTGGCTCAGTGGATAGAGCGTCGGCCTGTGGACTGAAAGGTCCCAGGTTCAATTCCGGTCAAGAGCACATACCTTGGTTGCGGGCACATCCCCAGTGGAGGGTGTGCAAGAGGCAGCTGGTCGATGTTTCTCTTTCATCGACGTTTCTAACTCTCTATCCCTCTCAATTCCTCTCTGTGTAAAATCAATAAAATATATTAAAAAAAAAAAAGACATGCGATGTATTTTAAAAAACAAACAAACAACTTAACTACAATGCTAGAGTAATTAAAACAGTATGGTACTGTCACAAGGGTAGATATATAGATCAATGGAATGGAATTGAGAGTCCAGAAATAAACCCACACAACTATGACCAATTGCTTTTTGAAAATTGTGCTTTCTCCATTCAATAGCCAAAGAATACTGTCCTTAAGAAATGGTGCTGGGGCAATCCACATGCAAAATAAATAAATAAATAAATAAATAAATAAATAAATAAATAAATAAATCTACATTAATAAAAGAGTAAGATGTAAATTGACCATAGCTTCATGACAACCAGCTAATCAGGAGTGAGTATGCAAATTAAGCCAACAAAGATGGCCCACCCCAGCAGCTCTGGGCCTCTGAGCAGCTTGGGAAGGCAGAAAGGTGACTCCTGGCTAGTACGAAAAGGCAGCTCTGACTGGAGCAAAGGCGGTGCCAGCAGCCAGGGGAAGGAAGACCCATTCTTGCACTAATCTTTGTGCATCAGGCCTCTAGTAAATAAATAAATAGAAAGAAAAGAAAGAATTTGGACTCCTGCTTTATACCATATACAAGAATTAACCCAAATGGATAAAAAATGTAAGTGTAAGAGCTAAAACTATAAAACTCTTAGGAAAAAAAAATCATAGACATAAATCTTTGTGACCTTGGATTAACTAATAGTTTCTTTAGCCAAAACCGGTTTGGCTCAGTGGATAGAGCGTTGGCTTGGGGACTGAGGGGACCTGGGTTTGATTCTGGTCAGGGGCATGTACCTTGGTTGCGGGCATATCCCCAGTAGGGGGTGTGCAAGAGGCAGCTGATCGATGACTCTCTCTCATCGATGTTTCTAGCTCTCTATCTCTCTCCTTTCCTCTCTGTACAAAATCAATAAAATATATTTTTTTTAAAAATAGTTTCTTTAAGTTTCTTAAATATAATATCAAAAGCACAAGTGACAAAAAGAAAAATAGATAAATTTGACTTCATCAAAATTGACTGTTGGACCTCAAAGGGAGGGTGGGGATAAAAGGGAGAGATCAACCAAAGGACTTAAGTGCATACGTATGAGCCTACCAGTTGTCAAGGACAATAGGGGCATGAGGGCATGAGTGGGGGTCGGGGTGGGGATTGGAATGGGGGATTGAGGACAAATATGTGATACCTTAATAAAGATTTTTTTTTTTTAAAAATGGAAAATTTTTGTGTTTTCAAAGGACACTATCAAGAAAGTGAAAATATGCCTTAGTTGGTTTTGCTCAGTGGATAGAGCATCAGCCTGCAGACTGAAGGGTCCTGGGTTTGATTCCAGCCAAGAGCACATGCCCGGGTTGTGGGCTTGATCTCTAGTAGGGGATGTGCAGGAGGCAGTCAATCAATGATTCTCTCTCATCATTGATGTTTTAATCTCTATTTCTCTCTTCCTTCTCTGAAATCAATAAAAATACTTTTTTAAAAAAGAAAGTGAGAATATAGCCTAAGCCAATTTGGCTCAGTGGATAGAGTGTTGGCCAGTGGACTGAGGGGTCCTGGGTTCGATTCTGGTCAAGGGCACATACCTTGGTTGCAGGTTCCCCAGTTCCGGTCGGGGTGCACATAGGAGGCAACCAATCAATGTGTCTCTCTCACATCGATGTTTCTCTCTGTCTCTCCCCCTCCCTTCCACTCTCTCTAAAACTCAATGGAAAAATACCCTTGGGTAAGAATTAACAACAAACAAAAACAGAAAAAGAAAGAAAGCAAAAATATAAAGTACAGCATAGGAAATGTAGTCAATCTATCTGTATAAAACACTAGTATGCAAATAGACCGAATGGCAGAACAACCAAACAACAGAATAACCAGTTGCTATGGCATGCGCTGACAACCAGAGGGCACACTTGGAACATGGCGGGCATCAGCAGCAGGCTGCAGAGCATGGGACATGGCAGGCGTCAGCCATGGCAGAATGGTGGAACAGGTGAGCAGGAGTGTCAGACCAAGGCGGGGTACTGGTCACTGTCATTGGGTCAAGCCTCTGGTGGTTACTTAAAATTCTTTGTTCCCACAAGCTGCGGTCCTGCCTGGTGCTCACACCTGCTGCCGGCCATGGCCCCACTCGCACCCACTGCCAGTGCCTGGTGCCATCCCTGATCGCTTGATGCCATCAG